AAAGAAGCAGGTTTGGTGGCAATGATGTGCTCCTGAAGAACTCCATAGAAAGGTTACATAGCTGCTCACCTGCAGACAAGGAAAAGTACAGCACTGTTCAGCTCTCTCAGGAGCTCATAAAATTCTGCTCTGTTATTGAACATAATCTGAAATGTATTAGAAGCAAAAAAAAAAAAAAAAGAAAAACCAACCAACAAACAAAAAGCCCAAATTTTTTTTTTTTTTTTTTTTTTTTTTTTTTGCATATTACAGAACGTGCCTTCCTCTGAACTAACCCAGGAAAAATTTACTTTTTACTCTGCCACAATGAGTTTTCTAGCACTTAGACATTATTACTTGCTCTGCAAATTCTAAGTTATTTTCTCATTATTCTTTGTGGGATATATAATAGCAACAGTTGTATTTTAGTATTGTTTTATACGTTTATAGAACAATTCAAGTAGTATTTAGGATGCATAGTACTAATATATTAAGCTGGAAACTGATTTTAAGTTATTTGAAAATAATTTTAACTCTTATACAAGTGAATTAGAGATTTGCATAGAGTGGGTAAAAAATATACATTAAAAGAAAACAGGGCTAGAATAGTTTTTCCCTTTAAATTTGTTGCTGATTAATATCTTCTGCATTCTGTCCTAAAGAACATAGTTGAAAATATCCTTAGTGGGTTAATGTTCTTGCTACTATGATAAAATGTTAACAGACTATATGGGAGACAGTTTATTTTGCTCCCAGTTTCAGATATTTCATTGCAGCCTGGCAGTGAATATATGGAGCAAAATAAGTTCACAACATAGCATCAGGAAACCGAGCAGAGAAAAAACAGGAAGGATTTAGGGCAAGATGCAGCACCTAAGGGCACACCTCTATCAAGTTCTCCTACATTAGTTCCACATCCCAATAGAATATTACAATATTGAATCTCTCAGTGTATCAGAGACCTCAAAGTGCCTTCAAATAAACATCAAAATATGTGACTGCCAATCACCTAGGTGTTTCTCAATTTATCAAGTTAACAATCAAGTCCAGCATGCTTTTATTAATAAACACTTACTTAAAAGAAAGGCCTAGAAGGGACTATTTCAAAAACCAATCTAATTGAGATCTCAAGGTATTTGAGGTAAATATTATATAGTTCCCATGACGTATGTACCTTTTATTTGTTTAATTCAAACTTTCCTCATAGTTGCCATGTTTATGATCTTTACAGAAAATAGTGTTTTCTTCCTGCCAAACTGTACAACTATGGAGAGGGAGGTCACTGGACCTACTACTCTCAACTCTCACACAAGGCCTACTAGCCATTCCCAACATTTCTTGACTCCGTGGCTCTTTCAAGTTAGAAGTATATGCATATCTCTTCTCCATCACATGATGGATATGTGTGCTGGTGAGAACCCTTGGCATGGTCACCTCTTTAAAGTGATGCTTTTATGATGATGTTTCATCTTGAGGAAAATCATAGTCAACCCAGGACTCCTTTCACGTGATTTACAAAGTCAATAATTGTCTACTGTAAGTTGCTTAGAACAGAAAGCTACCACCAATTAAATTAATTAATAACACTTTGATGTTGTTACTTATTTCACCTTCACATACTTTAACAGAGGTTACGTTGCTTCATGGCATTTTTTAAAAAATCAATCTACATATAGCCATAGAGATATCCAATCATTCATGCCTCAGAGATGAGAGTAGTAAAACAATTGTTCCAAACAAGATTTTGACAGCTGAGTGTCAAGCAGGTACACAAGTTCTTTAACCACATCATTCCAAGTATTCCTCATAGTAGTTCTATGAACTGATATTACTGGTTCTGTTATACATGAGGGAAAACTAAAATTTCCAGAAATTAAACAAATTGTTCAAGGTCATGAGTAGGAGACTGTCTCTGGACAGTACGAATGTATATATGATTCTTTTTTTTCTAATAATGTAGATTTCTGTAAAAATGTGGTTCTAAATAATGTATAGAAGCATATTTAAAATCAGCAAGCATTTGGATAGAGGTGGAAAGCTAATGCACATACTTGGATCTAAGAATAAGAAGCTAGTCTCCAGACCCCCCATTTGGAACTCTTTGTGAGAGGGCAAATTTTCACCTCTCAAGCTGTGTGGACTGTAAGGAGTGCTGAGCTGCTGGAAAAGTCACAGAGAAACCCAGCAGAGTGAGGACTGTTAATAGATTTTATTAATTCACAACACATTTGTTAAACACTTACTACATGCCAGGAGCCATGATGATGTGGTATGGCAACAAACCCCAATAGAAGAATTACAACTACAAAATGCCATTAGGGCTCCAAAGCAATACAGAGAAACCCTGTCTTGAAAAAACAGAAATAATTGTCATTAGGGATGTGTGCCTTTATCATAAGAGGTATTCATAGGTTTGTATACATTTATTTGCATGGCCTACTTATGTCAGAGTAAGTCATTTGTGTTTCTAGTTTATTTGGTTTTGTTTGAGGAAATCTTGTTGTATTTGTGAGCCACATAGAGCATATACTAAGAGCTTATTTAGTGAGTAATGTCTCATAGAGGTGTATGTATAGTGTGGCTATCATAACTAATAGCCTGAAATATAAATTCGTTCTGTTTAGTTTACAGCCCCAACAATTAACAAAGGGTTATCTTAAGACACCATTTCTGTATAAACTGCATGAGAGCACATAGCATTCCTAAAAGATATGTGACCTTAACTATCCTGAGACAGGTGTTAAAGAGAGAGATGTGTCTCTAACTGATTTTTTTGTGACCAGTGGAAACCTACCTAGGGAGATGAATAGAATATAAACACTCTTGTGCCTCCTTGAGCCCAGCAGTTCTGTGATAGGAGCAGTGTAGATACTGTGCACAAAGTTTAAGAATCTCATTAGATGGGTCTGCCTGCAATCTTATTTTTATCTTCAAAATTCTCTGGTTTGGGAGAGAAGATATCATTCCTTTAGTGCTTTGAACTTAACCCTCTCCCTCTACATGACTTGATAGAAAGTGAAGGAGCTTTATTAGAAATTCTCTAAGATTAAGTTCCTGATAATGTCCTCAAATAAATCTTATTTTTGGTTTTTCTCCACCCACTTACTGTCATCTGATACTAGGCAATAAATATAGGCATCCCTACCCTTGGTTATGTTATACATAAAAAATTATGTAGTTAGAACTAAACTAGGTAGAACAGAGAGGGAATTTTGGTAGTTTCCATGAAATAATTCATTCTAGTCAAGGGCAAGTTATTCTACGTGCATATGTGTGACAAAAGCTTAAAGAAACATTAAGTCAGAAATACGAAGACTATGTGAATATGGATTTCCTCTCACTTCTATTCCTCCCTATAGACTTGTTTCATTATTATCTTTCTCAATTTGCATCTTAGCATACTGCCATCTACCAAGTAATAGAAAACATGAATGACAATCATTTGTGTGTTCATATCTTTCTGTTAAAATTCTAGAAAAAAAGACTGAATCATTTCGTTTAGCTTCTCTCCCACAAGTAATTTAAGTGCACGAATTTGTTTGAGCCTGGGTCCTGTCCTATAAGGAACAGCTTGATGGAATGTCTTAATATACTGGATCAGATGTGGGGGAAGAGGCACTAACCAAGTGCAGCTCTGGTGAGATTCAGTAAGAATCTAACAGATCCTGTTCATGTCCTTTTATAAAAAATAATGTTGCATTGGGCTGTACCCAGGCATGGCTTCCTGAGACGACCCTGACTGCAGTGGTGTGGTGCTTAGTTATGGCTGAGAAGAGATAACATGTCCATGGCAACTTCTATGAAAGGAAGCACTAAATGGAGGTCCTGCTTACAGTTTCAAATTGTCAATTATCACCATGACAGGAAACATGGAAGAAGACAAGTGGGCAAGGACCAAGACCTTACATCCTAAGCCACAGGTGAGGCAGGCAGAGGAAGAGATTGTGTTTGGCATGGGAGTTAGAAAATTCTAAATCCACTCCTAGTGATATACTTCCTCCAACAAGACCACATCCCCTCCAACAAAGCCAGGCCATTTTTGTAATCCTTCACAAACAGTTCCACTAACTGGTGTCTGAGCATTTAAATATGAGTCTGTAGAGGCTATTCACACTCAGACCACCACACTAGGAATAAAGAAAAGACAGACAGACAGACAGATGGGCAGGCAAATAAAAGAACCAAACAACAACAACAAAAAAGCTAGCTGACTTCAAATTGACTTGGAGCTTAGAGTTCTTTTGGAGACATTTCAGCACTTGAGATGCTCAGCATCTTTATTATATAGAATTGAGGAGAGAGGTGATGGTTTGTATAGACCTCAACAAGGAGTTGTTATTATATGCAGATAAAAAAGAAGGCAAGTTTTATGGTACAGAGCTGGACCAAGGAAACAGCTTTAGCTAAACTTGGTGGCAGTAATCTCTGTAGGGGAGCTGTTTTGAGGCACTAAGCATCCAGTTGTGGAAAGCTATGGTTGACAATTCATGAACATGTTATCAGTATCAAGACATGGACCAAGAGGAAAGTTTTGCCATTTCTCTGTGATCCTCTCCAAAGGGGAGGGTTTTGCTGCTCTTCCATAGGCTGGGCCTCTGACATCCTTAGAATTGCTGTAACCATGTCAAAAGTACACAATCACTAAGGGCTTCTCTCACTTAGGGCTTCTTCCAGTCCCTAAAATATAGGGCTGTATCTTTGAAGCTAGTAATTTGCTACTATATTGCTGGCAGAGCACGTATCCTAATAGTCTGTGTTCTCACAGGGGTTAGTATTCCTTAAATTAATTTCTTGTATAAGCTGCATAAAAACTTGCTTACATACAAAAACACCTTCACCAGGAAGACATAATTAACATTTCCTACATATTAACTGTTCAATATATGTTAATAAATGATATTGTTTTAAAATAGCATTAAATAAAATCCCTGATGAAACTTCAGCTCTTAGTTTCAAGGTTTAATTTGAAGTTTAAAAACTAATGTTATAGGACGTTTTGCGTCATTTCCTCATAACTCGGCTTCTGGGAGGTGGGTCCCACGCGGTGTCAAACATGAGGATCGAGAAGTGTTATTTCTGTTCCGGGCCGATCTACCCTGGCCACGGCATGATGTTCGTCTGCAACGATTGCAAGGTGTTCCGATTCTGCAAATCCAAGTGTCATAAAAACTTTAAGAAGAAGAGGAACCCACGCAAGGTCAGGTGGACTAAAGCCTTCCGGAAAGCAGCTGGCAAGGAGCTCACGGTGGACAACTCATTTGAATTTGAAAAACGAAGAAATGAACCTGTGAAATACCAGCGAGAACTATGGAGTAAAACTATTGATGCAATGAAGAGAGTTGAAGAAATCAAACAGAAACGCCAGGCTAAGTTTATAATGAACAGGTTGAAGAAAAACAAAGAGCTGCAGAAGGTCCAGGTCATCAAAGAAGTCAAGCAGAACATCCATCTTATCCAGGCTCCTCTTGCAGGCAAGGGAAAGCAGCTGGAGGAAAAAATGGTACAGCAGTTACAGGAGGATGTGGACATGGAGGATGCTTCTTAATGGTGTCGCCTGCAACCAGCCTTGTGTACACTGGAAACCAGTGGAGACTGTTGGTTCCTAAGCTATTGATTGGTTACATAATGTCCTTCAGACAAAGGTGATGCACATGTTCCCCTCTTACATTGCAGCCTGTAAAAGCATCCATCCTGGGAGTTAGATCTCAGCTCAGTGGTTGCTTCTCAGCGTTATGCTCATAAAACACGAAAGTTTGTGTGTAGATGAAGGCATGAACTCTGGGCATAACATGGTTGAGCCATTGCTTAATGGCACCAGGCAACATTTCTGTCACACTGTCTTGCTGGTGTGAAATGTGTAATGGTGTGATATTTTCCTTGTACTAGTATTGTCTGTTTATTAGAGTTGTTAAAGCAGAGGTCACATCAAAGAACTAACCGTTCTCATGACAACCTCAGTCTGTTTTGTTTTGGTTTAGTCTGTTTAGTAGCTCCTTCCTTGAAGTCGAATACTGGCTGCATAAGATGCTACAGTGTAGCTGAATCATGCTGGGCTGTTTGTCCTGCCTCACCATTTTAATGTGCAGCTTGTGGATATTGGGGGGGTGGGGGCGGGGTGAATAAATTTTGCCAGAATGGTACTTTATTACTGCTTTGGAGAATGCTCAATTCCAAGTTGTGTCTTCTGGCCCAACAACACTCCCAACCCCCCTTCCAGCCCAGCAGTGGTCTAGAAGCAGAAGAATCTTGGTGCCTTTTAAATTTTTTTTATGTGGTTTTATTTTTTGATGTTTGAGGCAATGCCTCTCTATTATGTAGTAGCTCTAGCTGACCTGGAAGTCTGTAGACCAGGCTGCCTTGAACTCACAGAGATCCACCTGCCTCTGTCTCCCAAGTGCTGGGATTAAAGGTGTGTGCCATCACACCCAGCATTTTTGATTTTCTTTAAAACAAAACAAAACAAAAAAGCCAACCAAAAACTCTTCGGTTTTGGAAAATAGAATTTATGGACAGAATGTTGCCTTTTATTTGTACATAAATAAAACCTTTTCTAAAGTGAAAAAAAACTAATGTTATATTCATATGATTTTATTAACTATTAATAGATACAATACTTATTAATAATAGTATTTAAAATATAACTCTACTTCAGTCAGGTGTCAAGCTCTTGTCATGATAACTCTTTCCCACCAGCCTGGTCCCATAGCTTTTTCACCCCCAAATGAACACTCAGAGGCTTGGGCTTCTTATTGGCTAGATCTGTCTTAATTATTAACCTGTAACTCCTAATCTCTGTATTTCCATGTGGTCTTATCTTACCTGAGACACCTCACTTGTGCCCTCTCTTCCCTGGTCTCACATGGTACCTCTTCTCTGCCTACACTTCCCAGCCTCTTCCTTGTCTCATAGTTCCACCTGTCATCCTGCCTGATTGACCAAACAATGCTTTATTCAGCAACCAAGAAGAGAAACATATTTACAGAATGACATCTCCCATCACACTCTAGGTACTAAAAAGTTGCTATATAATAAGGTCAGGAGATCACACAAAACAACAGGTAGATGCTGATTGTTTTCTGATACTCAAAAATATATTTAAATTTTCACCCATTTGTATTCGATATGTATGTATGTATGTTTGTATGTGCGTGCTTGTGTGTGCAATTTCATCATAGATTTTTCAAGAAACAAAAACCATAAAAGTGTAGAAATCGTGGGCAATTTTATGAACAGCACTAAGTGAAATATAAGATATGTCAAATATAATATGTTACTAATCATTTTTGAATTGTTGGAATGTAGAAGATGTGTTGTAGGTAAGAATTATTACCTATGAAAAATCTAGTTTGCACATTGAGCCCAACATGCTACACATAAAGTATAAGGGAATGTGCATTAACAAAGGAAAGTCAGTAGTTTGGAATAGTAATAAAATAAGTGATCAATCAAGGAAGATGCATATATGTTCTCCATTTACTGTGCATCCATCACTATGGCTGGGAATTCACTGACATACACTAAACTTCTGTAGCTTTGCAAATGACAAATGCTGGTATTTTGATTATAGATATATTGACAAAGTCATATGATCAATAAAAGAGTAAACAGTGGTTAAAAGTAGGCCTTTACAAAGTCTCTCCTAACATCACTCTCTGAAATAAAGATGATAATTTGAAAAGAAGTTTTCAAACCATAAACACATTAAAATATATTCTGAATGAACTAGGACTTAAAAAAAATCTATGATTCTCTAAAAACCTTCTCTGGGTGCCTGTCTTCTATTTTAATATTTTTGTAAGATAATTTAGAATATCATTTCTATTTTGTAAGATGAAGAAACTAGCTCACACCCATATGTTTTATATAAGTGACTGAGCCAATATTCAAAAAATAGATCTAATTTTAAAATCCCTGGTAGTTTCCACTAATAAATTAGCTTTTACTGATGGCCAATCAAGCAGTATTCATCAGCCCTTCAGTAATATTTCTGCAGTAATGTTAACAATAATTTAGACAATATTGGTTTTTTATTGTATTTTCTTTATGTGAGATTCTAAACAAGAAGGAATCTACACTGGTCTCATAGAAAGTTTTTGCTTCCCTTTGAGAATTCTCACTCCATGCTTGTTGTTGCTTGTTAGAGCTTGCCTATGGCTGTCATATGCACTCCATGGGTTAGCTCATTTAATTCATTCTTATACGTAGATAACATTATTGCCTTTATCACTTGTTTCAGTGCTCTATATTCTCTCTAATTTGTCGAGTTGTCTGATAGATGGGGATAAAGTAGAGTTAAGTAATAATCTTCTAAAGGGAGTCATTTGTCTTCCTATTTATCTCTCCTTATATGTGAATACAATCGACGCTCCATTATTTGTAGTGATGAAAAGGGAGGCGGTGCTGTAGATAATCCAGAAGATACTTACAGAAGATTTACCATTGATATTGCCTTTTATGTAGGTGATATTCCAAATATGTACTTCAACCGTGTTCAAGAGCCATGAGGGGGCTTTTGACTGTTTATCATCAAAGAATAGCTAAGTTATAGTTAAAAATTTCCTGAAAAATGTTTCATGTACAGAGGATGGCGAATTGAAGGCATAAAGGCATAAGGAAGTTTATAAATATTTACATTTAAATATGTGGAGTCCAGCATTGAAAACTGGAGTGTATGTTAAATTGTAATACCTTGCATCTTTCTGCATATAGATCTAATGATATTGAGGGAGGAATAAACATTGATACACCACAATTTAAGGCAGTTTTCTTAATCATTACTTATAGAATTGTATTTACCTAGTTTATCATAAAATTTTGTTCAACTTTTGTGGCACAGTATTTTTGTAGTAGATCCAAACATTTTAAATTAATTTACAATAATTAAAATTAATTATATCACATACATTCTTCTTTTTTATCCCTACAATTTCTCCCATGTCTCTTCCTTCCAAATCTTCCCGTGTTCCCTCCTTATAATCCTTTCCATGCCTCCCTATTCTTATTCAAGTTCATGATCTCTTGCACACCCACCCCCACTCACATACAAGTGCGCGCGCGCACACACACACAAACATACACACATATAAGCATACACACACATGCAAACATACACATATATAAGTACACATATACAAATACAAACATACATACATATATACATACAAAATACATACACACGCATACACACACAGGGACACACACATGTATACATACACAAGCATATATACAAAGATACACACACACACACATGCACATACACACTAACACGTATAAACATATAAACATAACCTTCTGAGTCCATTTAGTGTTGCTTGTATGTGTATGATTTCAGGGATGGCCCCTGGTACTATATAACTAGTGAAGAGGGCTCATCACTGAGAGAGTTTAGTTCCTCCTCTCTCAGCAGCCATTAGTGGCTTGTGCCTCTTTGACTAGAGGCACCCCACAGAATTTCTGCTTGTTGTCTTAGTTTGTCTATTGATATTGCCTTTGTTCTAGTCTTGTTTAGGCAGTCATATTATTGAGGTACCATGAGTGCAGCTTCTGTGTTGTTTTTAGGACACAATCGCATAGCAGGCTTCCTGGCTCTCTGACTTTAAAATCTTTCCTTCCCCTCTTCTACAATGTTTCCAGAGCCTTAGAGGCAGGGCTTGACTTGTAGATGTATCTTTTACTGGGGCCCCCCATTGCCCATTGAGCTCTGCAATATGACCAGTTGTGGTTTTCTGTAATGGTTTCCACTTGCTGTAAAAACAAGCTTCTTACCCCTGGGCCTTTTAGAATACAGCTCAGAATCATGTTGTGCAGCACACCATGCTTTCTCTTTTGTGACTAATGGCATCACAATCTCCTGTTAGCTGTTCCAAATTACTTTTAGGTTCACGTTGACATTACATATCGGTAGTTTCTTTTGAATTCTCATGTATTCTATCTTACCTTCTCTTGGCAATTTTCTTGGTCCTGAGTATGTAGTATATCCCATGTCAGCACACTTAAAATTTTTAATTTTTTAAATTATGTGGTCTACTTTTCATATAGTAATTATGGTACTGAAATTTAAGATCTAAATAAACCTTACTAAATAAACAAATCTGTGGGCATTTCTTACCCTTTTTTTTTGGCTCTTTAAATAGTTTCTAAACCATTGTCTTCAAGCCAAGTTGAATTAATTTTGAAAGGTATATTTCATTAAATATTGAATTAGAGTTTTCATAAAAATCAAAGTATGCTGATTATATTATATCCCTTTACTTTTTTTGGCTTGAAATTCTTTCAGAAAACTGGACCATGATTGTTTGGCCTGATTTTATTTTTATTCATTTGTCTGATCAATTGTTATTCATAATATTTCATTTATATTCCCTTTAGATGCCAGCGTGTTATTTTAATGACTCTTATTAGTGACAACAAAAAATGATATGAAGTTACTTCTTATATGTTTAATTATAGAACTGAGGAAATAACTTGTTTGTAAATATTGTTGTTGAACATAAAAAGTCCTCACATTAAAATGTCATGTAACAAATGAGCACCACTGAAGTTAGTTGACATGGTTAGGTTATGATCAGAGGAAGGATGTACAAACCAGTGCCTGGTTTGTGACAGTTCCACATTTTGTATACACCCATGCATGCAGTTAATTCTTAGAAGTAACTTCAATATATATCCTTGTAATTAGCTCTATGTGGAATGCTGCTTCTCCT